TCCATCTCCAGATCATCTCTCAGCAGCCCCCTTGGACTAAATAAATAAGCCATTACAGTTCAGAGTGAGGAGCTTCATTTACTCAGGGCGATGTAATCACACATATCTGCAGGTCGTCCACATCAGCTCAAAATACAGCAGCATTTTGTGGACTCCCTGGAGGAGGCGCGGTGAAACGCTAACGCAGGAGCGGAGGGAGGAAAAAAAAACTGCTGATGGGAGATAGTTTGCCATCATTTCTGCATGGGATTATCATCTTACAAAAGCACACAAGCAGGGTTTGTTTGCAGGAATATGAAAGCACTAAACTGTGAGGATACCAGAGTGAGCCACAATCATCTAAAGCCACATTCCACTTCTAATACCAACGCCAGATGGTGCAAGATTTGATGAAACAGTAAGACCGGGGATCTAAAGTCCTTTTTTTTTTCTTCCTCACCGCCTTAAGAAAACACAAGAAAAGAGTTTTCTAACCCAGAACAAAGAGGACAGTGTCAGAAAGTTGAAAAGAGGCATTGAGTCAAAGGTTAACGCTCTCATATTTTAGATTGTCACTTACAGTTCTGCGTCGTACCGCCACACTTAGCGTAAGCGGTCACCTACTCACATTCTACAACTGTTGCAAAGGAAATTGACATTTTTATGTTTAAACAAACAGAATTGAACCCTTCTAATAACACTCTCAATGTTTTTGGTTTCCATTCGCCCGTCTTTCAGAGTGTTGCGATAGTTGTGCCGTTCAGACGTGTTAGAAAACTTCGGCCTCGGCATCCTGAGGAAGGCAACGCAGCGGGCGCACGAATGCTGTTCTTTCAGTCAAACGGATGTTAGGATTTCCGTCCATTGTTCGGTGCTGGGAACACCATTATCAGTGTTGTTGCTCCTCGTGATTGCACGAGGAAATGGTGCAACAAACAGAAGGCCCTCGCTGGGGATGAAAGGCAAACTTTCAAGCAGATGCAGCACCGTAGAAAAATCAGAAGGGACCGTAAGAAGGCTTATTTTAGGCTGATATATTGAACCAACTGAACGGACAGCTTTAATATTCATCAAGATTTTAAAAACCCATGTGGAATACATGAAAACAGCTTGACGGTAGCAGAACAGAGTACAGCACATTGTCAAGTCTCAAGACAAAACACAACAATGAGCTGTCTGTGAGGGCCCTGCAGCTCAGACGGACGCCTCAGGTGAGACAGGAGACACGAACATGGACTGAACGGCTCTGACTGTCCACACGCACAGTTTACAAGCAGCATGTGGACATCTACTCATTTTAGATTATCATACAAGGACATTTCAAATTACCATTGGGTTAAATGTTAAAAATTACTCATGTAATTTGAAGCAGCAGCTGCCCCCTTCAACATGTCTTCAGAAGTGGTTTAGTTTCAACCAAAGCTGTTTTCCAAAAAGAATTATAACGTAATTTATTAGCGAAGTGGAAAACAAGACATCCTGATGAATGCTCAATAATCCATGAAGAAAAATCTAATAAGGTTGAGTCAGGTCCTCTGGATGGATTCTTCTTGTTGAGGCGTTTTTTTTTTTTTATCCAAAAGACTTCGTCAGTCTGAGGAGCTTAAACAAACTCAGTCTTATAAAAAGCCAATCGTCCATCATTAAACAGGGGCGGAGGCCTCCATGTTCAACTGTCCCCCTCTTACAATGCTGTTATTTCTAGTATCACTCAGCCCTCTGCGAATAGCAAGCGGCCACTACCTGATAGGCTGATGGTCCTCCTTTATCATGTGGACAACTAGTTCTGGATGTCACCAGCAAACTGGTTAATCCACTATGAGAAGCTGCTGCTTATAAGGCTGAGTCTGTTGCAGCTCCTCACAGTGAAGAAGTCTTTTGGACAAAAGACGAAACATCCCAACAAGAAGAATCTGTCCAGAGGACCTGACTCAACATCGTTCGACAGAAAACAAAATGTTGATTTTAAATTAAGTTTGTCTCTAAGCGTGGTCAACAGTCCCATTAAACACTTATGTTGAGGTTGTCCACCAGAAGGACTTCCAGGTGACCTCTGTGGGTCCGGTTGTTTACTCGGACCTTGGTGAGGCTGTAAAATGTACCGGCTGAGCGACTTTCCCCACCTTCAGCTGCCCCCACATCCTTTGAAGAAGGGGGGAACTCTGAGTGGAAGATGAGGGGAACATGATGAAGGAAATGAAGTTAGTGAGTTGGGTCAAGTGGGCAGGAGGAGACTAAACCTGCTGCAGCTCTGAACGTAGTCTCCTGCAGGAGGAGGAACAGACACGTGAAGGATCTTCACATGAACACTCATAACACGTGCACATAAATGTTTGAAAATGTAAATGCCTTTCACCAAATGAAGGTCCAGTTTGGTTGTATACAACCTCCATCTTATTTTACAGAGCTTATCGATCCATATTTTCCTAACAGAGATCTTCGCTCTCAGACTGCAGGTTTACTTGTGGTTCCTAGAGTTTCTAAAAGTAGAATGAGGGGGCTGAGCTTTCATTTCTCTGGCTACTCCCTCGTGAAACTAAATACCAGTTTTTGTCTAATTTTAAAACATCGCAATAAATCCTATAGTTAGGGTTGGCTTGGGTTTCTTGAGCTGTCCCGTAGTTCTGCTGCTATAGGCTTAGCTTCTGGAGGACGAATTGACCACATCTCCTCATTCTGCTCCCTCACCTGTTGCGGGGGTTATGATCCAGAGACACCCGTGGTAGATGGAAATCTGTGAAGTAGCGGCTTTATATTTATTTTATTATTTATATCAGTGGTTCCCCTACATAACCTGCCACGCTCATCTCGTCCTTGATTTTTGTCTAACGGGGGTGGGGTGGGGGGGCTGGGCATTGTTGTATGACAGTTTTTGAGCTTTCGTGTGTGTGTGTGTGTGTGTGTGTGTGTGTTCAGTGTGAGGGAAGAGGCATTGTGAACACTGTTTTAGTTTTTTAGCTACTGTGCCTGTATTGCACTCAGCTAGCTTCATGCTACGTCAGGGGGTGCAGTTTCCACACGCAGTTTGGTTTGGTAGGTGTGGCGCCCTACATAGGGGAAACACTACATATATGTATATCGTATTTTCCGCCGTACATGTCGCACCGCCCTAAGTCACATCAGTCCAAATATGTCTAATAAAGTGGAAAAATCCATAAATAAGTTGCTTCGCCGTTTATGTCGCATCTATTATACGTCACCGATGACGCGTTGTGTTTGTTACGCATCATTGCTGACAAGCCAAAAATGTGGGCCGAACCCAGAAATGTGTTGTGCCAAAAATCGATTGGCTGCCAAATGGCAGCCGTGGGGGCGTGCACGAGAGGACTTAACAAGAATTTAACAAGATTAGCACTTAAAAACAATTATTTGTTGGCTCGAAGTTGTAGCAAAGGTGTGTCTCAGTCTAACTTTTCCTTAATAAATGCACTTTGATGGTCACACCAGCTGCATTTCACCAGGGCGCTGCAGCGAAATGAAGCTAAATTGGTTGCTCCATGCAGGCTGATGATGGTGGCAGCAATTTATGGCAAACTGACTGTGTCATTAATAGACGCTTTTACCTATTGCATGATATAATGGCATGCCATTCTACTCAAATGCCATCTAGTGGCTGAAAATGGTAGTGTTCAATTTTTTCAGTCAGAATGAATGAAAACGGTCATATCTCGGCCAAAAATGGGTTTATAAAAATGAAAAAAAAATAACTAAAATACGTTGCTTCGGCCTATAAGTCTTAGGCATGTAAATGATGCAAATAGCTGCGATTTGGAGACCAAACCTTACGGTGTATATGGGGGAGTGGTGGCACATAGGTTAGAAGATGGGCCTGTGATTGGATAGTCGCAGATTCACCTCCCGGTACAGTCAACATCAAAAAAATGTGGGTGAAAAAGGTGAAACACCCACACCTCCCTCCACCCTCATTTGCCCCACTCTGGGCCCCTGAGGAAGGCCCTTAACCCCCACCATCTGCTCCCTAAACAGGTCTCTCTTGAAAATGAGTTCTCATGGCTCAATGAGACTACATTTATAAATAAAGGGTAATATATATATATATATATATATATACAAATACTTATATATATATATATATCTTTATACATAAGGCTTTATAAATCCTTCCCACACTCTTATGAACTTTTTCCCCACTCTCTTATAAACACTTCATATGCTCTTAAACACTTTGGGGATCATGATGAAGATGAGATGAATGTACAGCAGTGCATGTACACAACACACAATATAAAAAACTGAGTTTAATAAACCTGCAATATCGTTGAAGCCACAAATAGTGAACCACAATATATTGAGGGACTACTGTTCTTACTTTATGCTCCGTTTGTATATAAAGTTATCGATGACACTAACTCGTGCTTTTCTTTGTTTTTCTTTAGAAACTTGGCCCAGACCATAGTCTGGTACCTATAGTACCTAGAGTCTCCACCTGGTCCACTAGTGTTCTTCCTGCCTTCTGATGCAGGCAGATGGCTGCCCATCATGAGCCCACTTCCGGTTCTGGTTCTAATGGTTTCTTCCTGATAAAAGGAGTTGTTCCTGTCAACTGCTGCAGATGTGCTGCTCAGGATGGAGGAGTGTTAGCAAACTTTGATGGACAGTGAAAATGTTTTAGAACGGGTCTGAAACTGGATCTGGTCCGAGATGACAGAAATAAACTGAACTGATGAAGTTTTGATGAAGACTCCACGTTCTTCCTGCGGCTCCTCATTCGTGACTCGTTTCCTCTGCAGCTCACATGTGACTTGTCATTCTCTTCGAGACTTTTCGTTGCACAAATTCGTTATAAATCGGATTTATGACCCCCCCCCCCCCCCCAGTTATTTCATGCTTCAGTGGCCACAGTGTGCAGCAGGCTGAGGGGAGGTTTCCCCCGCTGCTCATTGGCTGCAGCTCCTCTCGGCACCAGCAGTCCATTCATCCATCCCGCGCTGCTTGTTCCGAACCTTCAGTCCTCCTCGGTGCCGGCCTGAAAAGCACGTTTTATTCTCCTGGACCGGACTAATTCTCCGAACCTAGAGGAGGTCGCGCGGCCGCAGCAGGAACGACAGGTGAGAGAGGGCTCTACAACTCCGCGCGGAGCTGCGCGCGCACGGCAGCTGCTTTCACGGCATCTTTCTTGTTGCGTGTTTGTTTGTTGTGACATCTGTCTGTCGCATTTGTAAATACAAAGCTGGTTATCTGTATAAATCTGTCGAACATCGGAATGTTTTGGAGCAGCAGGTTCGGGTCAGAAATGAAACTGGACTCACGTTTCGCTTTGACTTATCAGATTTGAGCAGTTTCAAACTAACATTTGAGTTTTATAATAAAAAAAAAGTGCGTGTGTGTTTGGGGCGGGGGGGGGGGGGGGGCCCCTGGTTTTGATGGGAAAACTGGGGGGGTTAAAAAGGAACCCTAGGGGGGGGCGGCCGGGGGGGGGGGGGGGGGCTCAGGCCGTTTTTCACCAGTCCTCCTCGGAGTAATTGGCTGCAGATGCGGCTGGAATGGAAGTCAGATGCGTTGATGGTGAACAGCAACAAACAAACAAACAAACAAACAAAACAACAAACAGGAGAAACAACTAAAATAAAACACTGTTCATCTTTCTTGAAATGTTTTCGTTTGTTGTTTACATAAACAAAAAACACCCTGACCTGTCGGCTCACCTTTAGTAATAATAATAATAATAATAGTAATAATAGTTATTATTATTATTATTATTATTAATAATAATAATAATAATATAATGATAATGATGACGCTGTCCCCGCAGGGCGGGTTCAGGGACTCCCTCCGTCCTGTTCATAATTAGGGCAGGACTAAAACCCCGTCCTCCACGTGCCCTTTCACCCCAGACTCTGTAAGCTGCACTTATTAAAGCCAAAAGTGTTTCAATATGTGGCCGGCATGTTTTTTTTTTTTTGTTTTTTTTTAAGGGGGTGGGAGTGGAGGGGGGAGCTCCTTGTCCTTGCTCCTTCATCATCATTCTTATTGGCCGACCTGCAGTCATTTATCAGCGTGAGCTGAAATCAAAAAGCTACAATTAAAAGCTGTTTAGGATGTGATCGAGAAATCAGGGTTTTGTGAATGAATGTGGGACGAGCTTAACATGTGGGCGGGGGGGGGGGGGGCATTTGGTTTTAATGAAAATTATCAAACGTTTGAGAGTTCACAACAGCAACAAAAACAAAACAATAATGACAATAATCATAAAAACAGCAATAATAATATTAACAACAACAACAACAATAATAATAATAATAATAACAATAATAATAATAATAATAACAATAATAATAATAATGGTAAGAGGCTGTCGTTTCTGCGCATCACCCGCCGCCCTTGGGGTGGATCCTTGTCTCACCTGTTGGAGCTCAGAGTCTGCGTTAAAGACGACTCTCAGCTCTCATCTATACTTTCATGTTCTCTGAGGTCAGCTGGCTGTGGCGGCCATCTTAACTCAGGCAACCTCTCACTGTAATTATTACTTTTGTTAAGAGTTGCATTGAACTCCGTCCTCTAGTTCATGAGTTATTTTGCTAACAGACGATTTTGAGTCTTTCACAATTTGTGAGCAAGCAATAATAATAATAATGATAATAATAATAATAATAACTGTACTTGTTTTTGTCAGGGCCCACTGGACACGTGCATCCTTGGGCCTGTCCGTCCAGAAGACATGTTCCAGACTGTCCCTGACACGTCGTCTTACGTCAAGGTAAGACAGCCGCGTGTCTCGGAGCAGGTAATGTTGGAGGGACAACGTAACCAGACAAACAGTGGGGCCCAACACGCAGCTCAGATGATATATTTTTACAAGATTTAATTTTAGAATTTAATCCCTGTGAATATTTCTATCTCTGGACATAGTTCTGGTCCTGCTGCGGGGACGTCACATCCGGTTTGTCTTCCAGTCCACACTGGTCGCTGATGATTTTCTTCCTTCATTTGCAGTTTTTCGCCCTTTTCATCCAATCAAAAAAAAAAAAAAAAGCATCGTTTCATTACGCATGACGTCATGACACTCCCCCCCCAACACACACACACACACACACACACACATACAGCAGATTGTAAATAAAGCAAACAGCGCACATCTGGTTTGCACATAAAGCGCACATGGCGTCACATGTGGAAGGGGGGGGCAACGTCCCGAACCGACCTCCGAACGTAAAAAAAAAGCTCCCCCCCCCCCCCTCCACACACACACACAATTTATTTATTTATACAGTTATTTATTTATTGTCTTACTGTTTGACTCTGAGTTTTGGGTGCCCCATTCTAAGCTCTCTCATTGGAACAGAACCATGGTCCAGTTCGGTTCTGTCTCCAGAGTTCAGGTGTGTTTCCAGCATTGGGGGGGGGGGGGGGTGTCTGAAGAAAAGCCATCTTTCATGGATCATCAGTGTTTGTGGCTCCGCTCAGGACGCGTTCAGGGCCCAGAACAACAGCGGATCCTGACGCGTTCAGGGCCCGGTGAGGGTTTGTTGTGAAGATGCTCGTTGGTTCTATTTATTCTGGTTTTAGAGCTCGCGTGCATTCCGTGCAGCACGTGGCACGCCTCAGTTTATTAAAAAAAAAAAAAGAATGAATGTATGAAAAAAAGAAAGAAAGCGAGAAAGAAAGAAATGTTCTGCTTCGTCCGGGCGGCTCCGGGGCCCAGCTTTTGGTTCTGTTTGGTTAAGGCCAGGCGAGACTGGAACTCTCCAATAAAAATAAATCTCAAATGAATTCTGGCCCGGAGCGAGGGCCCAGACAGAACGTGCGTGTGTGCGCGCGCGGCAGCCTCTCTGTTTGGACCGGGCTGCCTTTTAGCCCGGGAGCAGGAAGGCTCTGAACACAAGTCTGAACTTTTAATAAACAAGAAGGCCTGGAGCGGCTCGGCTCGGCCCGGGACTGGGTCTGGGCCAGAACTGCTCCTCCAACAACAACTATGTTTCACTTTATATAAAAAAAAAATGTGTCATTCAAGATTAAAAACATTTAAACTAAATAAAAGCGTTTGGATTGTGATTAAAAAATCCGTAAAAATTGTAAATTGTTTTATTAATGTTATCCATTTATTATTAATATAATAACTCTGCATTATTAATGTTTAACTGAACTAATAGCGCAACAAAATTATTATTATAACTCTGAATAAAGAAGACATTTAAAGGCCTAACATTTGTTGGGGAATGCATGTCACCCGCCGTCTTTAACGCCATCATTTATATGATGGGCTGATGAAACGATGACGTCATTTCCCATTAAATCCCATCTTTTTTAGACATTGTGCACATTTTGTGTGATTGGTATATATATATATATATATATATATATATATATATATATATATATATGCTATTTTTTGTGTTTGCTGAGGTTGATTATCTGTGGCGGCCATCTTGAATCGAGGTGACTCCAAACATGAATCACTTGTAGGCCTAAACGTTCATCCAGTGACCATTCTCTGTTATCTTCATTAAAATCCATCAATTACTTGATGAGATATTTTGCTAACAAGCAGGCAAAACTGATAATATGTGCAATAGATTTTCTTTTTAAACTGATCTTGTGTAATGAATTAGGCTTCAGGCTTTGTGTTGGACATGACTCTCAGCTACTACCACACTAAATTTAATCTAAATTCCTGCATTATTCCTTAAGTTATAGCCATGTTTGTGTTTAAGTTGTTTAGCTGTGGCAGCTGTCTTGAATGGGGTGAACTGGGATGATAATGCCCATCCAGTTCTTCCTGCAAGTTCCATAAAAGCATCCTCTGGTTCAGGAAGTATTTTGCTAACAGTCTGACAAAGGTTGGAACATTATGGCTTTTTAGTGGTGGGTAATGAACAAGCCCCCCTCCCCACCTCGGCTTGTTGCTCCAGCGCACGAGGGACGGGGAGCTCGGAGGAGCTCCTGGCTGGTGCAGCGAGAAGAAGAAGCAGAAATGTCTTGTTTCAGTGTCAAACCAGATGTTCTGTGGTTCGCTGTGTAAACCGACTCACATCTGTTTATTGGTCCTCTGAAATGTTTGTTACTGCTTTGCCCATTATGATCTGATGAGACTGTGGCCCCCACCCTCCAGTCTCATTGTCAACATGACAGGTGGGATTAAGGATGTAATACGTGTGGGCGAGGTTTGATCTGGTTAAAACACGCGACGTTTGGAAGACAGTCGTATTTAACAGCCTCGAGATGAATTATGGTCATTTGTAACTTTCTTTAAAGCGTTACTGGCACATCTGTTGACTTACGATGGGAGTTAAGAAACAAACCCATGCACTACGGCTCGTTCGATTCTTGATCCGGAGTGTTTGCGTGGTGGATGAAACGAGGCGAGTCGACGCTGGAATGTGAAGAAAAGCCTCAGAAATAACAAAACCAAGACGGCCACTAAAGAGTTAAACAAGGTGTCTCCCATAATTACACAAGTCAGAACTGGCCCCGGGCAGGAGAAGCCTTGACCCTTAGCAGGATCCAGATGTGGGGGTCCCAAAGGGTGGGGGGTTGGGGGGTTAACACAAGCACAGCTCCACCTCCAGACCCCCAAGTGGAGGGCAGACTGGGCCGGGCCTGGCTGTCAGACTCAGACTCTGTTTGGGCCACTGGGAGAGAGGCCTCTCCCCCAAGGCAGAATCTCCCCACCCCTACACACACACACACACACACACAGTTTAACAAATGTTCATTATTCTTATCATCAACTAAACCACAGCATAAATTAAACGTTAGGAAATAAAGTGAAGAGGAAACTCTTTAGGATGAGTTCACTGTACTGAAAAAAAAAATCTGAATTTTCCTGAAACAAGCTTCATAAACTCAGTAAAAACCCACATATTAACATATTAACAGCGGCATATTAATCCAGACATTACAGTCAGCTGTTTGTCTGCCTGCTGCAGCAGACGTGAATCAAAACACTGAAATAAATTATTTAAAAGACTTTTCTGTTTGTTTGTGACTCCTGCAGCATCTGGACTGAAACCGAGCTTGAATTGATGAGGGCAATTTCATGGAGGAGACGGCGGGTGGGGGGTGGGGGGGATTAGTCTTTTGGAAAGTGTGTGTGTGTGTTGGTGGGGGGATTCTTTTTAAAGTTTGAACAGATAAAGAAGGAGTCAAACATGTAAAGCTACAATATAACCAGTAGTATTACTAATATTTATTTTAATGAGCCTTATCACCTGCTGCCGCTCATGCTTCAGATCATTTCATGTTACAAAGGACAGCTGGAGTGAATCCTTGAAAACTGTGAGAAATACTGAAATCATGAAATATTGTCATATTTCTGTGTAATCACACACAATCTGTTAGTACTTTGATGTTTAGCTACTCTCACATCACATTTGAGACTTTGTGAAGCAAACAGACAAACAGCTGTTCTACATCCATTACTGGAATTTCCAGATTATAAGATGCTACTTTTTTCACACACTTTGAACACCGCGGCTTATACAATGCTGCAGCTAATTTATGGATGTTTTTTTTATTTTTTTTGATGAGCTAACGAGCTTCATGCCACCAAAACATTTAGCTCACATAGCTTCCCAACATGCATCTCTCTTTTGGGGGTGTAGCGATCAATGACTTCCTGGTAGACTACTGTATTTTTAATTTTTTTTTAATCAGTCATGTTACAGGCACTGTTCAGAAAAAAAACCCATTTAGTTTATTTGTGCATGTTACCCGTAAGTATTTAATTAAAAGTAAAAAAAAAAAAAAACTTTCTGGGTAAATATCTCGTTACAACGTGAACACCTGTGGCTTATAGACAAGTGCGGCCTATTTATGTAAAATTTTAATTTTCTTTTTAAACTTAGCAGGTGCGGCTTATATTCAGGTGCGCTCAATAGTCCAGAAATTACAGTAATTACTTTGACAGTGGTTCGGGAGATGTTTTGCTAACAGACAAGTAGCGCTACTTCAACAGGTAATGGAAACATTTCAATTGAAAATAAAGCACAAAGTGTTGTGTTCAAAGTATGCGTATCCTCAGCTACTACCACAGCAAACTTCAGCTAATCATCTGTAAATTTTCTGTTAGCTAAAGTCAGGTGGACGTGGCAGCCATCTTGAATTGTGCTGAGAGTTAATCAGCTTGTTGTTCATTATTACTTTCTGAAAGCTTCAGTAAAATCCGTTGAAAACTTTATTAATAATAAACGCAACCTTTTGATCCACGTGGTTCTTGCGCAGCCGCAGATGGGCTCAGATCTCTGACGTCATTAAACATTTTAGTGAAGTTTGCCACAGGTGCGCAGGTGTCTGTTCTGTTCCCACTTTAAGAGAAGAAATGAAATGTTTAAAACGGAATAAAAGCGGGTTTGATCGGGGGGGGGCATTTCCAGCTGTGAGACCAAAAAAAACCCAACATCTTTAAAAATGAAATATCATAACTGAGCTGGTCCTGCGACATTCCAACAAGTCTCAGTTAAATGTGTGCAGACAGAAGCTGTTCCACACGCGCGCGCGCGCGCGCGCACACCCCATCCTGTAAATATTTCCGACGCAACGAAACAGAGAGCCATTAGAGCGCAGCGAACAGTCAATTGTTCTCCTGCTTATCTCTCCAGGACAGTATCCTGCCTGGTTTTTTTGTTTTGAGGCCGGGCTCTCTCTCTCTGTGACACACAGCTTCCTCCTCAAACAGCCGCGGTGACTTCACTTCCCAAATTTAGAGGGGAAGAAAAAAGTGAATGCGGTAAAAGCGCGTCTCTGTGTGCGCCACATCCC